AGGAGAGTTAACACTCTGTTCTTGTGGAACTAATTCATAGGTCTTTACTCTTACCCATGACCTTGTGGTACTTTTTTGGGGTCAGAAATTCTGAGTAATACGCACAGTTCTGGTCAATACGCACATCAGTTCAAAAGAGTGTCGTTCACAACTTTTTTTTGAGTGAATTGCAAAAATACTGTCAAAATTAAACAATAAAAAATAGTGCATCACCACACCTCCTTTTTAACATTTCAGGATCAGAACATCCCATAATATTAAAAATAAGACACTACCCCAAAATGTGTGATCTTTAGGGAGAAGCGACATGGGTATTTCTTAATTGTGTAGAATTAGCATAAATAGTTAATTAAACAAGGATACTGTAAAAGCATTTATTAGTCCCCGTTCGGACGAAGTCATATTTCAGAATCTTTTGGACCAATTTAGTTCATTCTTTGCATGTGCCTAGTACTTTATGTGAGACATATGCACATGCAGTGGTTTAGCGATTCGATTCAAAATGGCTGACTGGCAGCCATCTTGTTCTTTGAAAATGTTGTATTTTGGACATGCTTCGCCAAACTTGGTACATAGATTATACATGTTAGGATACATGTCCATGACAATTTCTTTCACAATTAGATAAAAGATGTCCGACTGGCAGGCATCTTGTTTGTTTTTTTGAATGTGGTATCTTGGTCATGCTTTGTTAGTTTTCATTCAAATTTGGCTTATACTTTATACAAGTTAGGATACATGTTCGGATCAAAATCGGATCAAGGATGGCCGATTGACAGCCATCTGACTTTTTGGCCTTACTACTATATTTCCAAGATTTATGTAACATTTTCCTTCATATTTGGCACATACATCATACATGTCACTTTGTTTCATAATCAGATCAAAGATGGCTGAATAACGGCTGTTTTTATTTTTGGCCATATTACTATATCTCTGTCACCCATGTATCATTTTCATTGATATTTAGCATGTCATAAATGGATACATGTACATATCAATTCAATTTGACAACCCCTCCACTTTAATATGACAAGCATAAAGAGAACTTTCAAAAATTTAACGGGGACTGTGTCATTTTCAATGACTTGTTTTCACTTTGATTTAATTTAGCTATTTCAGTATTTTGATCTTAATCACAAATTTTCCATTGAAACAATTATTTTTTTTTAATTTAAAGGTTCAATAAAGTTTGGAACAAAATTAAAGTGGTAGATGGTATTTCTTAGTGAGCTTTGTTCATGTTGTCAATAAATAATAGGAATAAATCATTGATTTAGGATTTTGTTTGATGGTAGTGGTAGTCTTGTATTTTATGAGAAGTACTGGAATGCTATGGAATGCAGGGACTTTCTATTTAGGCAGATGAACAAGGGTCATCCAAACACTCAAAGGTCATGACCCTTGAACCATACCTTGGATACAATTTAACCCTTTGATTGCCATTATTTTTCTCCCATCAAAATACTGGTGCAACATCGTACTCATTTTTGTGTATATTTTTATAATTTCTTTGTTAATTTTTGAACAAATGGATTTAGTTTCCTAAGATATATAGTTTTGTTTATAGTAATATAGTTTAGCACAAAAATGGCCACCATTCAACCATCTTGAATGAGATCGTGAAACAAATTTATGTGCATATGTATAATATTATGTATGATATATGTGTGAAGTTTGATTGTGATTTGTACTGGCATCTCTAAGACACAGTTTCAGACACATGGATGCACAAGGGTCAATCCATAGGTTTCTGTTTTCGGACTTCATCCGAACGGGGTCTAAAAAATCAAGGTTTATTTAATTTAAAAGTTGGCATTAAATGGTTTAGATTAACTCTTGAATAGCTATGTAAATTAGAGTCATATTATGCCTTATGTAGGAAATGTTTTTTAGATACTTTGAGTTGTATTCCCAGATATTTACATAATTAATATATTCACATCTCATAACTAATATATTTTTTGGTAATGTCCAATATGGTTAATGTATGCTGTATGTGGGTAATATTTGTACCTAGTATACTGTAAAAACATTAATTTTCCAATAGCATTTAATTTCACTATTTTGATGTTTTGAGCAATTTTACTGGATTTTAAGAACATGAACTTTGCAGGGAAACAATCCTATTGTTATTTTATATGTTCTCATGAATTTTATTTAGCAGATTTTACTTTTAATAGTGAAATTAAAAATCAGTTAATAATGAATACATTTATAGTATACTGTTAAAAATTTTATTTTAGCTGGAATTTATTTTCACTGAATAGCCTTTTTGGGTGTTTTGTATGGAATTTATTTTCACTGATTTTTGAAAAGTTGAATGTAAAATATATATAAAAAAAGTATATCCGCTGGATTTTATTTTCACTGAATCATTCCTTCAGCGAAAATAGCGAAAATTAATTCCAAGTGAAAATAAAGTATTCTACAGTAAATGTATATCGTATATACGGTAATACGACTGGCAAAGTGTTCTAGAAAATTCTTATTTACATGATTTACGCTTCTGATTCACAACATAACACATTGACTTCTGCTGTGAAATACCACTCCCCCCTCCCCCTCTCTCCCTCCCCCCAATGAGATATCACGCTATGGAATGTGTAGATTGGTAAATGATTGGGTAATCCTGCTTCAGAAGAAAACTCGTGCCATGTGCAATGGAATTATCTTAATCATTCTTTCATAAAATCCAATTAAAATCTAACGTGCAACTTTTTATGGACTAAAACCCTAATCTCAATAACTTGCATTTCACTATGACTACGTAACCATAGGCACTATATTTATATATTTTTGTTTATTTTCCTTAACATTGTTTTTATGTCTGAGTGCTTCTCAGTATAGAATTGCCACCATGAGACTTATACTTGCAGGCAGATTTACGCTGAGACATGCTAACCAAATTCATTGTTACAGGGGTGGGGGGTGGCGGTGGGGGGTATATATATATATATGTTTATGCTGAGGTTGCAGTTTATGTGAAAAGTATAGAGTACACGAAGCCTTTAAAAATTGAAAAAGTAAACATACATTTATTTGTGGATTTATCATCTACATGATCTTTGGCTGTTTTTTTGCGATGTTGTCATGGGAGACAAAAACATGGGTAGGAATTTGACTATTCGTAATTCATTTAATTTTTTAATCCAAAAGTGGGATAATGTTATTAAATTATTATTTATAGTTTTAAATTTATATATACATCATACTTTACCCTTGTAAGCTGTAATTCTACCTCTAAAATAATGGTACAACATTTTTCAATATTTTTTTTCAATATATGTTGATGTCAGACATGTTGATTCAAATTTTTGAAAAAAATGTAATAGTAACAAAAGTTGGCTATTGTGTTAAGAATAATTGCATAATGCAAATTACCTAATTAATATGCA